TCCTCGAGAGCCTGACGAAGCTGATCTTCGGTATATTGAGGCATTATATATAGAAGAAGACATGTGCAAAAGATGAGCCCATTTGGACGCGAATTGAAAATGTTGTGATAAAAGGAGGTTGGGGGTGGGCATTGGGTTGTGGTGGATTTTCGCGTTTTTGTGGGTGCCAGAAACAGGGGGGTGCCAGGAAGTGGGTATGTTGACTTATAGCCCGAGCCCTCATGACACTGAAGATTGAAAATGTGGTGATAGTGAAGTCAAGGCTGTTGAAAATACTGGCGATGGCCAACACGATGAGGGCTGAGCTATATTGTGTTCCGTAAAGCGCCCAGAACATGTCCTGAACTGTAAACCCATTGCTCTTGATGGATTGACGATACGCGACTTCGAGCGCGATGATAGTGACAAGTGGCAGCGTGAAGGTAGCTATCACAAAATACAACCGCGCTGTCATGGGAATCCAGCTGCGCTGTTTCTGTTTCGGCTTTCGTATGAAACTCTCGTCAGCTAGAAGTATCTCGCGGGCTTGTATTCGGAATTTCGAGCCATCAAAGTCTGTAGAGAATCTGTGTCCGGATAGCTCGTATGATACCTGGCTAGTTCTACATGCTCCAAGAGGGGCCAAGATGGTATCGATAGACGGACTTCGAGCGAGAATTGCAGCATTCGAAGCAAGCAAACTAGGATCCTGAGAGACGGAAGGGGTAAATTGAAAGATGATACCCAGTGCGAGTAGGCCTAGCATCATCAGGCTGACCACCATGATCCACAGAGAGAGCGGTCGGAATCGAAGTCTCTCTTGGGTGTATGTCCCTTCAGCAGAAGCTGTCCCATGGGATTCGGTCATGAAGGATTCTTTGAGAAAGTTTACAGCAAGCTGAGTGATGACAGAGGTTGCGGATGCAATCATGGTGTCGATTTCGAAGAACTTGTAATATCCAGCTGGAAGGTCTTGTGATGTATGGCTCATAAGTTCAAACATGGCGGCAGAACCTCCTGTATCATTACCCGAAGTGTACTTTCGAGCGGAGTTGCCAATGTCTCTGCGTGGTCCATCCATAGTTGAGTCGGCGGCGACGAGAACAGAGTGCAGCAACTCAGACAGCTGTTGGTCGGTCAATTCGTCGAGTTGTTTATCGGCGTCGAGTGGCTCTTTAGGGTGAATCAGGGTCTCGTTCTTGTTGGTGCCCATAGTAAGAATGCTCTTTCCCATGGTATATGCGACTTTGCAGGATACTGCTGTGATATTGGCCATCGATGTTGTGTAGTCGAAACTGTAATATTCGGTTCCAGGCTTGGTCCGTTGTGTGATGTTACTCGCTATGAGGAGTAGGCGAAGATCGACTTGAGACCCATCGGATCTTCCCTTGTCGGAGCAGTACGCCCTATAAATATTGTACGTCGTTAAAGTCCCAAGGCAACTCTCGCTGCCATCGGCACAAGTGCTAAGAAGAATCCTTGTGTTTCCACAAGAAGGTATCTGTACTTCCAAGGCCCCACTGAATTCGGTGATGTTGCCATCTATCTTATCGAAAACGGTGATGTCCGGTTCTTCGCAGATCACGTGTGGAACGATAGAGTCAACGTTGGCGGAGACATGCTCGATATCGCTGATTCCTGGTGTTTCAGTAACGGACGCGTCTTGAAAGACAATTCCCTCTTGCGTTCCAACAGGTTCTGATATTTGCCCTTGGAGCACCTGCAAATACTTTACTGCAGAGACTGCAGAAATGTTACTAAACGAATAGCTCGAGTATGTGACATTTCCAGAGAGAATGGTTCTGTCTGTTCTATTATTCAAAGACCAATTTGTGGTTTGCCAGAAAGCCGACCCGTCAAAAGCTGAGTTCACTTGTATCGGAAGCGGCCCCGACATCTTGATGGCTACGGGTACCATTAGCGTCGTGGATAACAGAGTAGCTAATTTGAGGACAGCGGAACCTGTCATCGTGGCTGCTGCTATCCAGTGTCCGTTTCGGAATGACCTGACCAGCCCCGTCGATAGGATCGGAGAGACGTAATCTAGCAGGAGACTCTTGGGTCCCGGGCTTGGGCCTCTGGCCATTTGCTGCCATGGCTGATGCATCTTGCTATGGTAGTCGACTTGCCTCCAGAGGCCCGTGATGGCCACGAAAATAGCGGTAGGGCCGTAGGTCCAGGAAAACCTGCTTGATGTTGCCGTGATCATGAAACCCGAGTTTGCGATGTCGTATCGGACTAGAACCACTAGTGCAATCCAGAGGGCAGTGAACAGAAAGGCAAATCCGAGTAAAGAGGTCGTCCGAAGCCAAGGAGGCGTCCATAGCGCTCTACGTATTGAAGGCTCTGGTACGCCTCCTTTCAACGCCTCTACGCTGTCCGACCATCTATCGAAGGTTGTAGAAGTCGGCTTTATGTCGGCATGGGTCTTATGGTCTCGCAGAATATCGATGAGCGGATAGGCAACATCTGATCCATCATTGTCTGAGCCCCAGACTTCGTTACGTTGGTGTTTTGAATAAGTTGCCGGAGTTGATGTCGAACGATCGTGGAGTTGAGATCGCGGATTCTCTCGATTGCCGAACCCGGGGTCGTAACTGGTTTCGCTAGAGAGACCATAGGCGGAAGCGATAGACCACACGTCGACGGTGCTTGGAGACGAACCCTGAGCTGAAATAGTCTCAGGATGATTCCTATCGTTTGGAGCGACAGATCGTCGTGTTATGTCCATCGTCGAAGTAAGGGGTGGGCATGAGGCGGCTGCCTTGATCGCTTGTTGGTAGGAGGCTGTCGAAAGGTATGTGGTGCCTCTATGACGGTAAGGGATAGAAAAGGAATGAAAGAGCAACTAGATGTTGCAAGACCCGTGATATTTATCGCACAGAACCTGCGATCTTTTCTTCAGACATGCTGATGCTGTGTGCAAGAGGCTGTAGCTCAAACAGCCTATGATGAAGTGCTCGTTAGGCAGTGATTCTCGCAGGCCGGAGAACAGAGCCTTCGATGGATGCAAGGTGGATGTGGTTACCTTGGTATGAATTGTCTCTGTATTTATCAGCCAGTTCAATACTGCATATCGGGTGCTAAAATCTCACGTCAGCACAAGGATGCGATGCAAGATAACTATGTATCGCTCCTCAGCCTGATTTTAATATCTGAACAAGCCGGAATCCCAACTTGATGCGGAGGGAATGTCAACCGATCGGGGGAGGATCTTCCCGCTCCTTCAGGGGACTCCACTGTATAATCCTGAGGACCAACAGGGTTTCTCGTCCTCGAATGCACCTGAACCTCAAATGGAGGACGACGGAGAGCCTGCTGCATCCCGCCCCACGATATGCAGTTCTTCGGACCGACGAAGAGAGGAACATAACGTAAAGTAACTACGAGACACTCGAGGAAATGTCTGTGGTTGCGTTATCGCGGCCATCACACGACAGCCTTCGAAACCTTCAATCTTGGCTAAGAGAATGCAGCTAAGCCACAGCAGGGGCCAAGAGACATTTTGGGGTATCAGATCTTACTACGTAATGTTAAAGGGACGAGCGAGCAAAGACACGATCCTCAACGCGGGTCTCAAGCTGGCTAAGATCTGTCAGAGCCGGCATGATTAAACTCCAAGGTAATCCTCTCATTGCGGTGGAGATGTGTGCTAGACTGAACCTCGGGCCTAGCGCCGTGGTGCATTAGGTATTTGCGGACTGGGATATGCCCTGAACCAAGACGCCCATCGAAATTGCCAGCCATGTGCGCTGCCCTGACACTTGAGTTGGAATGGTTGGAATTGGCAGGCTGCCGAGACCCATTAACTGACTTAGGCTCTGGAGAGCTTTCTCAAGGTTGGACGCCCCAGCATGAGACGCGACTGGAGACTAAGATCAGCTTTCCCAGTTGAGTCTCATGCATAGATTTCAGACTGACTGCTTCCCGGGCTCGTTCACTCATCCACCTCTCAGCGAGTTCTGATGTGTGAGTTGGTGTGATGGAAGAGGATCAATTTGGGCAAAGGTGAGTTCTTCAGCGAAACCGAAGCCTACGTGGATTCCGCGCGCCTCCTTCTGCCGTTTTCCCGTAGCCCCCGCAGGCTAACACCTCACCTTCTTATTTGAGTTGCGCCGCGTCAACGTCAACGTTTAAGGGCGAACTCAATTACGAGGAAATACGCAACCGTTGACTCTTCGGTCAAAAGGCTTGGCGCATATAACGCTGTCACAAGCTTCAAAGCTTACATCAACGTCAAGATCCAGTTCATTGATCCATTCACTCACTTATCAGAGCCGCGATGCAACTCCCGCCGCACCCCCTGTACTCCTTAGAGCTCACGCCGCGCTTCGACGCCGACGGCGCGAGCAGCTTATCGGTGCTCCTCCGGCTGCAGTTGCCAGTCACAAAGGCGCACGAGCCCGTGTTTGTCTTCAACACCTTCTACGGCAATGTTCCCGGGCATCCGTATCAAGAAAAGGACATCAACGTGACAGACGATGCCGGCCCCCTAGAGCTCCAATTCCACGACCTCCCTTCAGAGGGCCGGGACAAGAAACAGCACTGGTCCTTTACCAGAGAACCCCGGGGCGACATCCTTCTCCGCTTCGATGTCTTCCCCCGGAAAGTAGACATCAAGACCCCGCTCGGCGCCCGCATCGACCTCCGCCGCGACCAGGGCGGCCTGCACGGCGCCGGCATGTGGTTTCTGCCGCAGCTCATCAATGATCAGCTCTTCACCGTCCTAGTCAAGTGGAATATCCCGGCCAACGCGCCGGCCTCTACGCGATGCGTGTGGAGCTACGGGGAGGGTACCAAGCCCATGGTCCGCGTCGATCGCTCCGAAGTCGTTCGGAACACCATGTTCATGGTCGGGCCCGTTCAGAGCTCTTCCGGAGCGTCGTCATCTGCGTGTTACTGGTTCGGTGACCTTCCGCCAAACCTCGACCGGGTCAAGGGATACAACACCGCCCTGTTCCCGAAGATGGCGGAGTTCTTTGGGTCGTCTGCTGGAACGTATCGCATGTTTATGCGGAAATCCATCGTCGGCTTTGGTGGTACCGGCTTCGATGCAAGTTATATGCTGGAATACGATGACAGGAGTAGCGACGTCGAAGATGACCGCCTCATTCAATTGTTTACGCATGAAATGGTGCACAGCTTTGCAACGATTGAGACAGGCGAGGCAAATGAGAACGACTGGTTTGAAGAAGGTACTGATCTCTAATATGCAGCCCATCGTCTGGAACCTAGGAACTGACACTACGCAGGACTTGCAGAGTTGTATTCGTCATATCTGCCCTATCGCCTCGGCTTCCGTGGGAAAGACTTCTTGACCAGCACCATTAATGATCATCTCCAAGGCTACTTCACCAGCCCTCGCATTAACATGGACATACGCGATGCGGCCGCGGCCATGTTCAACGACTGGTACGCAGAGTGGATTTCCTACAAGCGCGGCTTCGCGTACCTCCTTTTCATGGATCTCTATCTGCGCCGACACACCCGCTCGTACGACTTTACCACGGCAGGGCCCCTCGACTCCATCATTCTCGACTTGACAACAAGGCACAAGCAAGGAGAGGCTGTGGGCGCCCGTGATTGGCTTGCCGCCCTAAAGACGTCTCTTGTGGGCGACGAGTTCCCAATCGAGGAGCATTACCAAGACATGCTCCGGGGAAGGGCGGTCATGAACTTTGATGGCCTTTTCTTGGGCGAGCCATCCAAGACACTGACGGCAGCTCAGCTTCCTATCATGGAATTCGGGTTTGATAAACGAAGCACGAACTCTCGCGTTGTCACGGGGCTTATTCCGGGCTCAACTGCGGATAAGGCAGGATTGTGGGAAGGAGCTCAGATTGTGAGCGTGTCTCGAGCCAGTGATTGCATTGATGATATCCAGAAGACCTACAAAGTGGTTGTTCAAGACGGTCGGGGCACTCGTTTGATAGAGTATGTGCCCCGGGCGAAGAAGACTGCCCTCGCCTGGCAATTGGAGGAAAGCGGTTGAAAGGTTTGGAGGAACTGGGTTGCTTCTGCTATCTAATTGTACCTTAGACTACATGTAATGAGAACGAAATGAAACAGGAAGAAAAGTAGGGTATGCCGTTCTGGTGTTACATGTACTGGTGCTGTGATTTGAAAGGAGAGAAAGGAGAATAAGAAAATGGGTAGAGGCGGGAGGCGGGGAGGCGGGGAGGCGGGATGTGCTGTGTCCATGATGGTAAACTCTGCGATGTACAAACGACCTTCAGTTGAGGGACCCCTCCCCAGCTCTGACTACAATGACAATCAGGCCTCCAATCACCGAAGCCAGCCCTCCAATGACTTTCTTGGCTTTGAGGGACATCTTGTATTCAATGAGCAGCGCGTGGCGGGGTAGAACGATGCGATCCTCGCGCTGGTCGATGTCCACAAAGACATCATCATAGAGATCAAACAGGTGTGTGTAAAACCCCTGATCCATCGACTGGGGCTTGTTTACCGCCTCAGTAAAGGCTTCGTCGAGAGCGGAGTGTCGGATCAAGGCCTTGAGGGGGGGCAGTGCTGTGAGGTCGGGAACTTCGATCTGCTGGTTATTAGTATTTGTGAAGGTAATAGACTCTTATGGGGACAAGCAAGAGCTTACCGAGCGAAGTGTGGCGATCGATACAGTCGGCTTGAGACACAATACGTTGGTCTTGAGGAAGTGTTTGGCTTTGCTGGTGTTCGCCTCAAATGTGCCTTCGATAGCTTCCACGAGCCCTTGCGGATCTTCGTAGCTGGCCGCTGCCAAGATGGTGCCACCAGGGCGTGTAGAAATGGAGGATTTGGTGAGGAGGAGGCAGGATTTTGTTGCCATGATTTGAGATATTTGGTGGTTCTTGACGAGCAAAGTAGGCTGTATTTATGGTGTGGTCTGGTGTGTTATTCTGGTGTATAGTCTGGTGTGTAGTCTGTTTGTTCCATTAAAGCCCTCCAGGAGTGGCATCAGAGACTTTATAATAATGCGTCAACCGGCAGTTGGAGCAGACTTACCGAGGATATCATTACGACATCTACGTAGATGTGTGGAAAAGTCCACAGTAGCGGGTTCGTGAGCGTATCTACAGAATCGAGGACAACGAGTCTTGACAACACGAATAAGTCCGTGATTCTGGGCAGGAAACCACCACATGACACCGATACCGAGGATGACATGATTTGTAACTGTGTGATACGTCACGATGGGATCAAATTGTGTAGAAAAATTGCGAGAGCGCGAAGGCGCGCATCAAGTCCAGCACATGTTGTGTCTCGAGCTACGCCAACAAGTGTTCCTAGGACCGTATGTCCACTGCGAGCGCCAACAACTTACGCTAGAGGACCAAAGGCGGTGTTGCACGTGAGCAAGAGCCATCACACTAATGGACTTTGCTGAAGATGGTGTTGCGAAGTCGGGAAATACGGTGCTGAGCCTCTTGTTACTATTGAATGACAAACAACAGCCAAGATCCGGAATCGGTGAGTCCACGGTGTGCTGGTGACAATTCTTGCGCCGCCGCGCGTTGTTGAATTCGCGACTCTCTAGTCGGCTTTGTAACGGCTTGCATCGGAGTAGTGTACGCTAGAGAGCCGGACACCGCCGGGATTGTGGTGCTGTACCGTACCCTATGTCGGAGCCCCTGAACACGATCAAGCTATACGTACGTACGTACTCGGTTTCCTCGTGCCCGAAGCTTGATCAGAGTAGAGAGTACCTCCGAAGTCGAGGTGTTTTGCAAAGGCTTCGAGTTGTTGTGGTTGTAAAGAGGCGGTGCGAAAACCGCATCATGGAGCTTTGCCAATGACGTCGGGCAACATCCTCTGCTCACTAATTAGCCCCAACTTGGATTTCTTCACGAAGAATGGGGATAAGGTCGCCTTAACTAGCCCCAACCAACAATTTGTCCACGACCAATGGTGACAGCGGCTCAAGGGTGCCATACCTACCTTATGCAAGGTACAGAACACCCTCCGGTACAGGCGCTGCTCCGGTACGGGGCAGCTAGCTCTGGAGTAGAGCAGCTTGCGCAGGGGAAATCTCGTGGAGATATCCGTGCCTTGACTGGATTCTTACCGATGAAATGTTCGTGGAGAAAAAAGTACTGCCAAGGAACGTCAAGCCACCACCCAACGGGCTGATAACGTCCCCCGCACCACCTCCAAAGCACCGTTGTGCTGGAGGGACGCTGGCAACTCAGCCTAAGATTTCTCTCTTCCCGCGCCGCCATCCAAAGTCGAAACCGAATTCATCCTTTCATTATATACCCAAAGATCGAAACCTCCTGGCGAACCACATCACGAACCTCGCAAAGTTGACTCTGAGCTGCCAACATGTCTGCCGAAGACAATGGGCAAGGCAGCAGAGACCCGGTAAGTTGTCGGATGCCTTTCAGATGCCTTCCTACATGCATCTGGGCCGCTCGCAACACAAGCTTTCCCTGCCCATCATCCCATGTTTCTCCACACCGTCGCTGAAGTTTGCGGCACTCCCGCTCATCTCATCTCGGCCCCATCCCATGGGATCGGATGCTCTCAATGCAAGGTTGCTCCATCCTTTCAGGGAAGAGCATGCGAAGCATGTCCGCCACTCCATGAAGCACCGATGCTAATGCTACTGTTCGCAGTTAATCCCCCGCGGAGACAACTTCATCCCTTTCGAAAGATCAGACGTTCGACGATCCCGAGTTCAGGAGGCGCTGAATCAGACGAATGTCCTCGCCCCGAGCCAGTCTTCGACTCAAACCCCGCCTTCCGGACGCAGGGGAATCGAGGAGTCTCCCACCACCGGCGGTATCGCCGGTCATGTCGTCGGCCCCAGCACGTCCACAGCGCCGTCCACGGCGCAATCGCAGAGGGATTCGGTTAGCGCCGGCCAACAGACTCTCACAACTCTCACAACTGCCACCACTTCTGTCTCTAATACTAATGCAACAACTCAAGACAACGAGCAGGCGGACTTCTTGATCTGCGTGGTGGTTTTGATGTACGGTACCACGGCCCCCAAGAATTGTCGACGTATATTCACGCGCGCTTGCGATCTAAAGTATGGGATTGTTCTACTTTGCCTCAAGTTATTGAAATAGGTAGCTACTTATGTACGAGTAGCTGACAGTGGTTAACAGACAGCACAACTGGCAATGTCACGTCCACATCAACGATCAACACCTTATTGCCCGCGAGGAGGCCGCTGAACAACGCCGCACAGGAGCCATCGGCAGCCGACATAATGCCAGGTCCAGAGGATTAAAACCTTACCAGTCCAAAGCGACAACCCCACTTTTGGAAGAGCATCCAACCTATCGACTTACTATTGAGGGCTGGGATCATTTTGTCGCCATCATCAGCATGCTCGATCAAAGTCGACCTCGACCAGAGGATCAGCACAGGAATCACCGCATCACATGCATTTCCAGCCTATGGCGTTCGCAGTTTGGAAACGATCGTCCCGGTTTCGGGATGCAGAGTAAGTTTGCAATTCCTCGCTCAATCCTGTGGTCTTCCACCCGAGCAGGTAACTACGTCAATCTTCGTGACTGACGAACATCATTTGAATTACCTAGCGGACATTAGTGACGCAAACAAGGCTATTCTCAACAGGAGCATACGAAACGCCATGACATTCTTACTGGATCCCGAAGGAGAAAACTCCTCGACGTCATTCATCGACGACGAAATCTACTTGGCAGATCAGAGGAACAATCCAGCTTCGCAAACTCAACAAGTCGAACACTCTGAAGGAGCAGGGGCGATCGACGTGCATCCGACGGTTATGGAGTTCATTCACGGATTGTCGGCGGAGGAATGTGATTACTACATTGCTGTATTAAAATTGCCCAACATCCAAGGCACTGGGTAGGCAGGCCCAGCAAGTTGATGAATTCGCGCTGCATGGTGAACAGGAAGACTTTATGTAGCTTGGAAAGATTACGAAGGTGAACGATTGTGAGTTCATTTGTTTGCTGAGTTTGGAAAGCACTGGCAGAAGCATACATTTACTTGCGAGCGGGAAATCATCTTTAAACAGAATGAGGTCATACCGGAGACGGGAACCTGGGATGGCGTTTGGACGGGAGCGACCTGATTGCATGTAGCCAGTCTTATAGGCAGCGTTGATAAACTTATATTCAGTGATCGAATCGCATCATTTGGACTACGTATATGCTGTTGCGTTAGGTTGGGAGAACAACAGGGCCCAGCCAGTTGAGATGTCGAACGCAAACAACAACAGTAGTAAAGGGTGTATTTTCACAGCGCATGAATGAGTAGAGGGATGCTGCAGTTGAGCCTATATAACTTGATCCTCCAGCCTAATTGAGCCGACTCTCCCCTTTGGTGATTAGCATTTGGTCAGTGACCTCTTCGGTTCCCTCTAGAGTCGCTCTCGACATTCTAGTGCTCAACTCCTCAACTTTACAAGACACGACTTCGGCTTGGTGAATATTCCTTCAAGGAGTGCATCATCCTCCAACTCAGCAGGCAACCCCATAAACTCCAGGTTCCAAATCAACAGCGTAATGATCAGTTTCAACTCCATGTACGCCAGTCTTTTACCCCAGCATCCCCGAGGGCCGTAACTAAAACTCATAAACGGGCCAGCTTTGTTGTTGAACACTATTTCGCCCTTCTCGTCGGGCTCCAACCAGCGTTCTGGGTGAAGTTCTTCGGGAGGATATTCGGTCAGCGCCCAATCTCCGACGCCCTCGTTGGCGACCTTTTGTGATGTTTCACTCCGCTTCGCCTCGTCGATTTTGGCACCTGCTTCTGAGACCGTTGGCCCCGCCAAGAGAAGGACGAGAGGCGTTCCCTTGGGTATGCGGTACCCAAATATGTCCATGTCTACGAGCGTCTCCTTCATGATGGCTCCAGCGGGACTGCTCAGACGCAGAGTCTCTTCGATGAATGCGTCGAGGTAGTGTACGTGAGTCTTGGTGATCTCGTCAATTGTAGGCTGTCGCTTCTCTGAAGCTGCATCTGGGTATGCCAGCCGCAGCGCTTCTCGCAACTTGGACTGAATGTCCTGATGGATACCCAGGTATTTGACCGTGAAGCAGAGCGTGCTGTGTGTAGAATCCTGGCCGCCAACGAGGTAGCCCCAAATCATGTCGTGTATCCTTGCCGAGTCAAAGACTGGCTCTCGGTCTGCGGCTTTGGCTGCTGAAATTTCACGCGAGACGATGTAGTCCACTGCCGAGGCGAACTCCTCCTTTGAGCAATCACTGCAGGACAATTTCTCGACGGCGCGGTCAATATGAGACTGGAGAATGCTTTTCTTCAAGCCAAATGCCCGGCGGATAGTCGGTCGATTGTTGTCGTAGAGAAAGAAGAGCTTGGGGATGAGTGCGCGGAAGGCACCGTTGATTCTTTCGTTCAGAGTATTTAGGGCGAATAGAAGCGGTGGTGGAAAGGGTTTCGGGAACTCTGCAAGTTGTGAGACGTCAGACTTGGGCGATTCGGATCCATTTGGTGAGGGAAGCAGCAAGAGTCTCTCATGTGTGTAGCTATCTTCCACAGAGGTGCCAAAAGCAGCAGCGTTCATGATGTCGTAGGTAAAAGCCTCGAGATCGCCGTCGGCTTCAAAAGGCCGTCCATGAGCGATGGCGGCTTTGGTTTTCCAGAGCTCTATGAATTTGTGAACCATTTTATGTGATGCTGGTGCCGATACCTGCATTCTGTCAGCACTACACACCACAAATTCAAGGTTCTTAGTTACGAGCGCTATCGTACCCCATGTAAGAAGCTTGGTGTCATGAGATCTTTAGTCAGGAACTTGGTGTCCTTGAAAGAAGGATGCGAATCTTCCATGGCGATGAAGTGCCCAGGAATCACACTATTCCAGGTGATGTTGTTGCTAACTCCACGGCCGAGATCTTTGCTCCGCTTCGACATCAAGTCGCGGGCCTCACGGTAATCTGCAATGACGATGTGCGTCCTATCGAGAGGTCCAGGGAATAATTGAGCAATGGGGGTGTTGTGCTTGGAGAGCAGCTGCGTGAAGAACTTGAGCCAGTATTCCCCCGCGTTGTCGAGTTCGATGAAGTACGGTGCATCTCCCAGGATTCGCTTAGCAGAATCGAGGTTGAACGGCGGTCCACCAGCGATCGGCCTAGGTAAGAGTCGAAGGTAGAAGAGACGAATGGAGATGGCGATAGTAGCGACAATGGCCGCATATACGACGAGTCCCGCCATGGCCTTGATTATCAAGATGCTTTTGGGATAGGCAGTCTGGTCCAAGTTGTGCGGATGAGATTCTCAGAATGAGATAACGACTCAGCGGCACAACGGACTGCTTCAACAACGTCGAATCGCGACAGTTTTGTATCTCCAAAGTTGACGTGCATGAGGCCGCGTGGAGTCTGCCATCCATTGGAGGTAAGCTTCGGATGAAAGTTGATGCTCTTGGCGCCGCCTTCCCTGCTGAAGAACAGGGACGGGAGTGAGCACTAGCACTGTAGAACAGCGGCACAGCGGTCGCCGCGGCACCCGATTCGGTCTCGGCGCTGGCGGGGTATCCACTCGTGGCCTCACCGGCCTCCGGTGCTGGCGACGACGGCCGGGAGGGGCACGAGGGGGACGTTTCGAGTGTCATGCGAGATTCCCTTTTGGGCGTTTTCTCCTTGTCATGGTGTTTCTCTTCCTGGCGATTGGACTATCTGTACGGGGTACGAAGACCCTGGATCGTCGCGTGTGTCTCTGATGTTGTGATGCGCTGAAGATGTGTACTAAAAACCGATCCAATCACCGTAGACTGGAACTCTGAGTTAGTAGCAAACGACTGAATTCCATCTAGGGTATTTAAAGATTCATAAACTGCATTTCTAAGAGTCAACATGGATTGATCTATGGTTAATCAGTACAATTACGGTGAGCTTGCGCAGCTGTTTCTACCTAAAGGTCTATCAATTCGTCGCCGAAAGAAAGGATACCTACTTTACATTGAACAAACCCGACTCGTTTCTACCATCGCCTCAAACCATTTTCATCCACAGACCTACAACCATTCTCTTAGACAACCTTGAAACTTAAACATGACGCATAAGCTGGTGGGATATGTAATCATCCCGAGCGGTCATGATGCAGGTTGAGCACACTCTCGGCCGGTACGGGATTGTGGACGACAGCCGCCCGGCGGGCCGTCGGTAACATCCATCCACCCGATATTCATCATCACTTGGGAAGCCAAACCCTGAAGACTCCCCATGTCTTCCAATCTGGGAACGTTACCAAAATCTTGGAAAAGAATCCTTGGAATCCATGAATCATGGTTACAGTTACACACGGTTAGACCGAGACTTTTTGAGTTGGTGTTACAGTCTCACAGACTCCGAACATCCGGAAGCGGAATCGCAAGTATGACGATACGCACGCAAAGATAAGCCTTCAATTGCAGAGGTACCTCTATAGACATTGCTATAGAAGAAAAGCCATAGCTCAAGAATCATCGAAGGAAAAGTCCGCGCCTTTGGCATTTGGGGTGAGACATGGGCGACGATGCAAACCTTGATCTGAGTCTAAAGTCAAGTCTGAAGCCAGTCAGCTTAGCGAAGATACACGCGGGAAAGGCGACACCGATAGACACCAATACGTAAACGTCTTCCGCCATCCATTAACCTTGGCGCCTCCGATCTTGAGAGCTTAAAGCTTTCTACCATGATTCTTCCTTCTCCTTCCACAGCGGCATCTCCCGCAGCGACAAGATCATAATTGATCCTGTCCTCGTGTCCACGACATGCCGAAGTCGACTGCCTCCAACGCCCGCTCCGCCTTTGTTTGTGCCCCGGCCCGTGGCGTGGCGATCTCGGATCTAAACGTTCGCCACATGGCTGTGCACGAGTAGGCCACCGCAAAGGAGAGGACAGAGGCGCTGGAGGTGTGGTTCCACGGAGTTTGGCTTGATCATTGGAACTCCATAGCTGTAAGGTTACGGAGATAGAGAGCACACGTGGATGGATGTCGATTGTGTCTCAGATTCTACAACACGCTGCATGCATCTTGCGATGGGAGAATGAGGTGCATAGCAGTGACTTTGGCATTGATGTTGGCTTTTATGGTAATAGTAAATTACAAATTGGTATGGGAAACTCATGCAGACTGGGGATATCATCGCAGGAAAAAGGAAAGTGAAAACAACCAATGCCGTGTCCTGCTTCGTGTCTTCCAAAATCATACCACGACCTTCATGGTGCGGAAGTACTTCTTAACCCGTGACGACAGCGTTGACGATGATTGAAATGTCTCAACCGTCTCCCCAGAGTCCTCAGAGTCTAGTGAGTACCTCCTCTCCTTGACGAACTTGGGCCACGTGTTGGTGAGGACGAGGTACTTGATGCTCGACTCCGCGTCGTCGAAGACAGCAGCGTTGAAAGCCTCGGGAATCTCGCCCCAGTACTGCACCCGGTCCGCAATGGGGTCTCCGCTGCCATCTCGTGATACGCAGCTCATCTCAGAGCCACCCGCTGTTGACTCAGGTCCACCCCAGCTGTTATCCTCAAATGGTACCACAGGATCGCTGAAGCGCTCCGTTCGGTCGCCGTATAATATTCTAGCTGCGCCTTCGAAGACGCCTTCTAACCGCTTCAAGTCCTGTGATGCGATGTTGATCTGGAACTCGGCGTGGTAAGGGCTGATGAACTCGGTGTAGATGCGCAGGGCCCGGTTGAAACGTTCCCGTGAGATCTCGGCCGATCGATGTGATGATCCGGGGCTCTGAGGGATTGATGACTTCCATTCGGCAACGGCTGACAGGAATGCAATGTTCTCGCCGGAGAAGTCTCTGAGGGCAGAGAACTTGCGGAGGGGCTCGGGGTTCTTGTCCAAGACGTACTCGAGGGCGCCCATCGTGTAGACACTTTCTGCTTGGCTGGTGTCCTTTTCGAGCTGCGCAAGTGATTTCCAACTGATGGAAGCTTGGCTTCCGACTTTGGTCGATCCGGTGATGACAGAGTCTCTCCCGGCGCGTGACTTGTTCTTGGCTTCCCAAACAGCGATGGACTCAAGCGTTTCCTGTCTGAGAGTCTTATGCTTGACGACTTGCCAGCAGGGAATGAAGATCGCAAAGATTTCAATGAAGGTGATGGAGAGGCAGATCCTAGGAGTAAGTCAACATCGAGCTCGGGAGGAAGAACGTGTCCATGCGTTGCTTCATATAACTTACCACTGCGGGGGGATGAAGTAGGCATTGACGGGCGCCATCGCTGGGACGTACAAGGCGACAAGCCACATAGGGGTAGCGTGAAGGCTGAACTCGTTAGTGTTGGCTCGGGGTGTTTGTCACGGAGAAGCGACAAAGCGCTAACCTGGATTTCAACTCACCTTGCGATAGAACATGCAATGGTCTGCAGGCGCCACCCTTGAGTGTCCTGGATTCCACGTGATTTCCAGAGAATCACAGGTGCGACCAGCCAAGCCCAGAGGAATTGCCAAAATACAGAAGGCCACCATTCCCAGCCCCTACCCATCTCGACTTTTTGCTGCGCTGGAGTTCCAGTCACTTCAGTGCCGGGGATACCAAACGACGGGTGATATTTGCGCGAGACCAGATACATGACCACTGTTAGGAGAAGCTGATGATGAAGCACGTCAGCCATCAAGTGTCAACTGTCAAACATGCCCCGCCATCTGACCCTGCATCAACTCACTTGCACAAGCATGCCCGTGCACACAACGGCTAGCATCTTGGTGGTGTAATCGAGCTTCCGGAACTTCCCCGTCAGGGTCTTGTCCGGCCCGTTGCCGGTGTCCAACTGTGAGTTGGACTGTGTGAGCGGCTTATCTGCATATTTCCGCTGCGCCTTGGCGATGTGGAGGAACCGGCTGTTGGAAGCGTGGAAAAGAGCAATGCCGAAGGGGAGGTAGAGGCCCATCACCCAAAACTCGGCGCCATCGGGAACGAACTGGCCGATGGCAAGCCCGATCTGCACCGAAAGCCAGTAGAGGTGGAGCATAGTGACAGCGCCAAACGACAAAGCCAGACCGCGGATCCTCAGAAAAGGCATTTTGCGGTTGACAAAGAGAAATGCCATACCACAGAGCAAAAGCACTGTCCAAAACCCACCCCAGGCAAGCCAGAAGACCGCAACTGGCGCAGTATTGAGCGAAGGCGCCGCTGCTGCGGCAGTTGGTGTAGGCGTGGCCTCTGCACTTGACTCCATAATGACTGATCTCTGTCTCGTTGACTCAATATCTGATAGTGATGTGCGAAGCTGCCGTCTGGCGAGCAGAAAAGGAGCGTAGGGAATAGAGCTATCTAGATATTCTCCATGGTTAAAATCCGAGGATGGTCTTGGTTATATGCTGGAATGCAGATGGGGCTGGAAAACAAGGTTCCTCGAGGAATGCGAAAGTGCTTTCCCAGTCACCCGTGATTCACCAGCCAGAAATCACTCTAGAAGACTTTGGGCGAACCCATCGTGCTTTTTCGAGGTAAGCCAAACGCGGTGGTGAGGCCGGCGCACCGTCGTGCAGATCCCTGTTTACGTCAACGATAGCGCTGGCCCTCGATGTCGATCACATCTCGAAAGTCTTTTCAACGCAGGGAGGATTTGAAGACGAGTTGAACGCCGAGTCCTGTCAGTTGCTGTTCTGAAAGGAAATGGCCAGCCTTCATGGCCCCGAGCTGGGGGCCGTTGAAGTGAAACTGCAACGCAAGGGAGCGCGGCTGCATCCCCTCACAGGCGCCGCCCTCAGTAGGAGTGGGAGGGTGCAAGCAATAGTCGCGGTTTTAGACGATGGCCTCCAGTGTGGATCGTCGGTTGCATATGCAAAAGCAGGTCGCTAGCGCTAGTGTCAAGGGACGTCTCTCTTCCGGACGCTAATTAGGAGCCGGACTCTCGTAGAGCTGAGCCATGATGGGTAACGTTCTGTTTGGCCGTCGTCGCGGTTTTTTCTTGGGGCCCATGTCGCCTAGCGATTCAGCCAGTAGACAGTCCGTTGACCAGCGTAAGATCCGTAAGACGAAGCGTCATCGCAGATCTCTAAGCGGATCATTACCGTAGAGCCTTGGATAGTGTGAGGATCCATGAGTCGCTGAATCGGACCTGTCAAGAGAAAAACATTGCTTTATCTGAGATAACGCCGGCGCACGGTTCTCTTGATCTCGAGTTTGTCACTGCTGAACGAGAATGAGACAGTGACTGCAGACACGAATTGGTGTGATGAGTGTTAGGGCCCTGGCCAGCTGCGTGAAGTCTGGCCCATGGTCCGAATCTCACGATGTGTGCTGACTCTGTCGAGGAACGAGCGCAGGGAGACTTCATGAGACTCACAGCCAACATAGAAGCTTCTGTTTCTGATTTCTGATACCGTGCAAGTGAGAGCCATCGGCCGACCAATCCAGAAAAAGGGAGGAAATCATCTATTCTGATACAGGTGGCTGCTCTGAATCCTATCCGCGAACCTCCACACGTGGCTCTGGATCACTCTCCCTTACAACAGCCAGCCCAAAGTTCCAACGTCATGTTGCTTTTTGGTTAGGCGTCACTAATCACTTGCTTGCAACGTTGGCGCCATGATAACCCAGTTGAGAGAAGGATCCTGCAAGTGAGCCATCGTGAGAGGGCGCGGCGTTGCGCCGTTTTCTGGCCCGGTTGATTAAATTGCAACGGCATGCCTTCGGACCTACGTAAACCTCATGCGTTCAAAGAAAGAACTGTGGTGCACGATAGACGCACGGAGAAAAATATCACGGATCTTGAATGCTTATCCGCGAAGAGGCGCACAGAAAGACAGTGGATCTATCTGGAAAGCGAGATCACTCCTGTCGATCTGTGAGGAATCCAACGCATGGGTTGGAAAGTTTCATAGGACGTCTCTCGATGCCTTGCTTTATTGGATCACGAAGGCCCCAAGCGCTGAAGGCTAAAGGAGCCGTGGCGTCCCCATCGCGCGCTAGCTAGCGCGGACATGAACCTGCAGGTCCCCGGAGCGAAATGTTCGCCGGCTTTTGCCACCTCAACTTGAGAACTTTTCTGCAATTGTCGTGTTCAAGGATGCCAGTATGTGATCAAGGCGGATAGTGTGAGTAACAGAACTGCCCAGGAGGAAGAAGTGAGTCGCCGTCCGGGGTACCGAGTTTGACTCGTGGCAGACAAAGGCACGGTGGGCTGACTAGGCCTCTCCACGCCCGGCAAAGCTATTGAGATCATGTAATATTACGGGTATCATCTAGTGCGGGTTGTCATCACAGCTCATCCAAAACAAAGCTTCTTCTGCCGCGGGTCGTCACTCGGCGGTCTCGCGGGTGGTCTGCCGCGTTTCTTTTCTCCACCGACCTTGACCTTTTTTACGTCCGGCGTCGTCGACCTCGAGAGCGGCGCAGGGGGCATGTCCTCGTGCATGGCTTCGCGAATGGTCTGTCTTGAGAGGCAGAGGTCGATGTGCTCGTTGAACTGCCGTTCATCCGGCGCTTGTGGGCGATTGCAAATTGGGCAATCCCACATCTCATCGTTGACGGGTGCGTATTCCCGCACAGGATTGGGTAGAATCTCCTTGCCGTGTCTCCTAGCTGGGCTTGGGTCGCTGTCGATGTTCGTACCATCGCTCTCGATGTCAACCGCTCGGAAATCCTCATGATTGTCAAGCCCCAGAAGTGATTCTTCAGGCCACCGCTCCCAGCCGTCATCGTCAAGTTCACCGCTGGGTCCAGAGTGCACAAGCCTGGGAGCCTTCTCGGGTGATGCCAGGGCATCAGGTCTTCGTGATCTGAAACCAAAGAATGCCATCGTATCTGGCTTCTTCGTGCTGACAAGGTGGGTGCATCGTAGGCCCATTAGGCGCAGCATCATCCCCGGCATTTCCTCCTCCAACTTCGCCAAGATGGGAACGGAGAAATGATAAAGGTCGCCAGCCAGACATATTGCTCTTGGTAAGACGATTTGTCGCGTAAAGACCTCGTACGTGTGAAGCTTCACCTTGAGAACCAGCGTGCGACCCTTGACTTCTGCCCTCTTCATATCCTTCTCCAGCTCCTCCGCAGTCCACTTCAGCTTTTCTCTGAATAGCTGAGGATCAGACATATCTTTGAAAGTGCTCTCGGTACCGACACTCTTCCTCTCGTACTCCTCTGCCGGCTGAATTTTGGTGCGCCCCAGGCCAAGATAGACATTGATCAGGAATTCGTACGCCTTGTCGCCAAAAAGCGGTCGGAGGAATTGGCGATAAGGATAGATGTCTGCGCAAGTCTTGATACCAATTTCGGCCAATTGCCGCTCAAGCACACGACCAACACCATTGACTTTTCTGGGGGGAAGCTTCGCCATGAAACGCAAGATTTCGCCTCGATCATTTGGCAGAACAAACTGGCCGTTTGGCTTGTTCATGTTTGAACAGATCTTGGCAAGCTTCGCATTTGCTGCGATACCCGCTGACACTGTGATCTTGGTTCTCTCGTGGACCTCTCGCCGCATCTGCTCCACGGCTTCGGCCGGCTCGATTCCCTTATTCGTGCAGTATTCCGTAATATTCAAGTACGCCTCGTCAATACTTGCACTCTCGAATCGAGGGTCGTATTCGACTAGGATCTCGCGGACCTCGTGTGCCTTTGCAGTGTACTTTTCAAAGTTGAGCTTGAGCAGGACCAATTCGGGACATAGCTTCTTGGCGACAAACCCAGCCATCCCGCTCCGACATCCATACTTTCGCGCAACGTAATTACACGTTGTCAGAACACCGCCACCAACAGCGAAGGGGATATCTTTGAGTTCGGGCCGGTCTAGGAGTTCAACGGCAGCATAAAACGCATCGCAGTCGACATGCACGATGTATTGAGTCAGGTCTCGGGACATCTCCAACTGTGTGATGAGCTGGTCAGCGAGGCGAAGTTCTCGACTGAGGTCTTGCTTCTCGAGGTGGCGTTTCTTTTCGAGGATCTGTTCAATCTTTTTTGTCAAGGTTTTGTCGCGTTCTTCTTCACGATTGAAGAATTTTGATCCTTTCGAGGCATTGTAGATGATATCGGATACCTGGTAGGCCACTGTTAGGGAGATTGGCACCCCGCCATAGGGCAGGCTGGAGACATACCTTGGTCTGATCGACAGCATCCTGCCCAGCTTTTGTAAGAGATGGACCCAGGAGGGAGTATTTGAGTGTGTCATGCTCCGAATCCCCATGGGCATCTTCTGGCACCTCGTCGAGGGACGGCGGGCCTGTCGCCGATGCCGTCATCGTGAAATGATGGACAACGTTTTAAGAGAAGCGTATGGAGATGCCGGAGCAACGATCGGGAAATGCATGTCTCCTTAGTCAATGCCGTGTGTGTTGGTGGAGTATATTGCCGGTCCTGATAGTTTCACGTCACATGCGTGAGGATTGATGATGCCCCTCCACTCGCATGGCATTGATAGTTGCAAAGTGGCGACGCGTCGGATCTGTCTGGTTGCATTGTCAGCAAACTGGCGCGGGGTCACGTGGTGCGGATACGTCGGCTTATTCAGTTAACCACTAAATGCATTAACTGGAGTATTTCCTCCATTTTGTATCATATTAAACATTATTGCTATTATGCAGTACTCTAGCTCCTAACGCCGCTTCCGGCTGGCTACAATTGCCTGCCGCTGTCTTTTTGACCATTCTTGTTGACTCAATGCCATCAACTCACTGTTACTCTAAGTTGAGCACGTGAAACTCTCAGCCTTCGACTGATCACCACCGCTGGTGAACTTTTGGATTGACGGGTACGGGCAAACCGGCCTCTGTCTTAGGACCTCAGTAGTCGGATCAGTCGCGTTCTTCCACGTTGTTGCGATGAGCGAGTCCGGCGCGGCACCGCCGTCAACCCACTGCTGGAGCGCAAGAAGCGCATCGTGTGTCGCGTCGGAATAGCCTGGCACCGAGTAGTTGCCACCGCCGAGCAGCTGTTCTGCCTGTCCAGGTCCAGCGATGTACCAAGGCGCGTCGACGGTTGTGGTCTTGTGCTCCAGTCCTGGGAGGAAGATGAGACGGAACCAAGCGCGAACGGCCTCGACGTCGCCGCCGGACTGCGCAACAACCTTGTCGTAGTAGACCTGCGATGCCTTGGCTGGAACATCAGCATCTGACAGGCCGTGGTACATGATGATCTTGCCGCCGAGGCTGGAGAACTTGGTCAGGTTGAAGGTGTTGACGTCTAGTTCACCGGGGTTTGTTTCGTTGGCGTACGCGGGGACAGTCTCGTTGTAGCTTGACCACGCCCACTCCGCGTCATTGAAGAGGAAATACTTCATGTAGCCGACGGCCACCTCGTTCGGCTCAGAACCGTTACCGCCACCCAGCAGCGAACCCCATCCGTACTCGGAGGAGGGGCTGACGCCAGGGAAGACAGTTTCGTCGTTGACCTTGTAGTCAGCGTACAGCGCCTGAGCGACGGTGACTTGCTCAGCGGACAGACAAGCTGTCGCGTCCACACCATCTTTACCGCAGGTGAAGAGGTCATAGTTGATAGTGCAGTTGGCGGGGTCGCTGACGATGCTGTCCTCGACTCCGTCCGCTGCATCGCACTGCTTTCTAACGGCATCGCCAATCACGGTGAACTTCTCGGCTGGGATATGCTTCGCATTATCGGTGGGCAGATTGGTGATGCCAATCGCGATCCTCCAGCTTTGCAAATGGCTCTGCCACCAAGCCGGGGCACCGATCAAGAGCGCCGAGTAGTCACGAGGGTACATCTCAGCAGCCTTGAGACCCTGTCGACCGCCGTCTGACGTGCCGGAGAAGTAAGACGCAGTAGGAGCCAGACCGTAGTACTTCTCAACAACTCTCTGAGCCAGTGCGAGAGAGTTGTGCAACGCCCTGTGTCCGTAGTCGAGCTTGGCTCCATTGTTGTTCAGCGCCCAGGTGAGGTTGCTCTGGGTAGAGTTGTGACCGGCATCGGTTCCAAGTGTGACGAAGCCGTACTTGACGCCGACGGCCATGGCCGGAGCGTTGACGCCTCCCGAAAAGCCATCGTTCCCAACAGTAAGGATCTTGTTGTTCCACTCGTCTGGCAGGAACATGGCAAACTTGTACTCATTTCCTTCCGATGTCTTTGCGATGAAGCTCACGGCGCAGAGACTGGGCAAGTTCGTGACATTACCCGGGAAGGCGACGTTGCCCTCCTCGGAGAAGCCGTTGCCCGCATCGACCGACTCGACCGTTGAGATGGAGGCGTTGGCGTTGATCCAGTAGCTGATTAGCCTCGGGGTGCATGATGTTGAGTTCGTAGCAGCAACCTGCCGCAACGCGGCAAGCGCAATTGTGAGGGAAGCAGTCCACTTCATCTTTGATCTTTGGTCAAGGAATCCTTACGACGATGGAGCAACAGAGTCCTTGGCTTCCGCGGGCAAACCCCGCTATTTAAGATCCGCAACATTGGAATGAGTGATTTTGAAGATTTGTTGACCATGCTTCCATTTTGCCACATATCATCGCATCAAAAGCAGCCTCTGTTTACTTCTACACCTCTGTTTGCGGCTGGCGTCTCCGGCTCTCGGCGCTCATCTGACGATGGAAGTTGACATTCCTGCACGACCAATGAACTTGCCAGTCCTGAGACATCCTCTTTCCGCTCTCGGCTCCGTCCAATGAATGATCATGATCACTGCCCGAAATAATGCGCATCATGCCATGCGTTTTTCCGCTCGCGGCTATCTTTGCGCTAACATTAACTAGATTAAAGTTGTTGCTAGTACGAGCTACCAGAGGCCCGGATCGAGGGCATGTTCGTCAAACTGCGTCTTGCCGCAGGCAGTGAGGTGGTGGGGCTTGCTTCCTACCTGCGTCGGCTGGTTGACTGTTCAGATCACGAATCAACAAGAAGAACACGACGTATGCCTGAGGGAGGTTGGAAGAGCCATTGAATCAATGCTACGGGTTCTAAAGAGTGTAGGGGCCAGCACACGAACAACTGATCGAGCGACTTCCTGAAAACTCATTTGGGAAAGATTGCCAAGACCGTTGCGGGGAATGTCAACCGAGGAATGTAAGAGCAGCGCAGGTCCGGCGAGAATGAAGAATGAAGTCGGAAACAAGGAATCGCGAAGTAAGGTAACTCCAGAAGTATGAAGTCCACCACCAAGACTTGCCTTACCTACACGGCGCCTGTTTACCACCTTTTCTCATGCGGCAAGACTCATTGAGGTGACGCGATACATAGTCTGACCTTCCTAGTTCTTCCCCGCAGTCAGGGCACTTGTATGGTCCGTCGACTCTTACATGGTTGGTGTTTCGGTGACGAAGGAGGTCTTTCTTCTCCGCAAACTCGGCGGGGCATCGATCAGGAGTGGCTCTCGGCATGCTAAATAGACACTTGTATGGCTTTGTATGTGTTTTCATATGTTTGCTGTATCATTATTAGCTCTACTTCCATCCCAAACGCAGTACTGGGAACCCCACGACCTACTTGAGCCTGTGTTGTCTAGGGAAGCCTTTCCCACATTTGCTACATTCATACTTGGTTTCCTCCATTTTACGTTCAGCCAACATCATTGCTTCTTCGTCTTGTAACTTCCACTCTTCTGGAACCTGCGATGGTCGCACGTCGGGACAGTGACTCTCGTTCTGCGACCATCCACCCTCAGGAGTCTAATATCCTGAGGGTGCAGTTCCGGAAATGGGGACGAAGGACATGGGGTTGTGTGAATCATCGGTTGATCCACCGAACATTGGGATGCCCAAGTGATGGCCCCTATCCTGAAAAGGTAAATTCTCGGCATTCATATTGCTCCCGTCTTCGAAATGGAACCCCCCTTGGTCGACTTGTTCAAAGAGCTCATACTCATGAGGGGCTTCTTGGTCGTAATTGTTCATTGCGCCAATATCCAAGCTGACGCTGCCAAAAGTATGGACTACAACCTAGTCAGCAATGTGCCCCCCTCCATGTGCCGTTCAGACGAAATAAAGCAACCAGGAAACGAAACGAAACTCACAGCGTTGTAAGCTACTATGACCGAGTGAGACGTCCTTAGAATTCGAGGAATGCGAAATCTTTTCCCCGCCATTCAGTCCCAGTGTTGCAGCGGCCTCGCACATGAGTTCCATCGACTCCGTTGCTTACACACCTGCACTGGCTTAAAGGGGTCACTCTGAGTTCCAAAATGATCAGTTACAACTCAGAATGGACAGGGTGCGTAAAGCGCTGATTAATGTTATTGAAAAGGCTCGGCGAACGGCTCAAAATGACATAGGGCGGTACTGGGGTCTTGCTTTGTCCCGGAAGGATATGAAGGACTGAATGGGACAATTTCAAAGCAGGGCGCAAGTCTCACATGATATAGTCACAGAGTACGAATGATGAGAAATGCCCTGACGTTAGTTCTCCAATTTCCATTCACTATGAAAGGTAGCGCTGTTGATTCGATAACATGACGAACAACGTACGCCATATAGCATCAGATAACCTATTAAGTTGAGGTACTGGTAGAAAGGCGTAGTATGGTGTTGGAAATGGTGAGGATAAACTCGCCGACGCTGGCTTGGAAGCCAGGCGTAGAGATCCAATCTTACGTGTCGAATAGTACCTAAAGCCTGACGCCAACCTCAGCACACTGTTCGCGCTTCCATCGGCCAATGGTCATGTCGAAGTGTGCATTAGAGCGGTCGGCCTCGGACCTTAGCTGTTAACTAGCTTCTGGCCAAAACACCCGAAGCCAATCATAATGCCGGTGGAGTTATGGGGTTTTCGGTGAGATGCGGCTTGGGGGCAGGCAAGGCGACCTCAAGTGTGGCCGGCAGACAAGCTAAGTGGTTGGAAGACACCGCACATCCAATGTTGGTGGTCTCGTTCTGTATTTTGATACATCAAACCGGCATGTTGCATCAAGGATCAAGTGCGATTGGATGTGTCCTCGGCTGTATTGGACTCAATGCTGTCGACTTCCTCTGCCTTTCTTTAGGCAACCGAGTGTTGGCGGAGTTCTGGCGGGTTAGGCTCCCATAAACGAAAGCGCTTGGGCTTTCGTTCTCAACGATTTTGAAACTCATTTTCGCCAAACCTTTCGAAAAAAAAATCTGTGTTACGAAGTAGATTCTCCGTTGATTACCAGAACATAATACAGCCTAGGTACTGGGCTTGTCTACGATGGCAAGCAAGGAATTGATGTCGGGGGACCCAGCAGTTCCCCGTAGACAAGAACGTACGAGACTCTCCCTCATGATCCGAAACTAGTTTACTAATACCTGAATCGAAAGGAACCGTGGCGGTAGAAGGCATTGGTGTGATCACTGTCAAACTTCGAGATAGGTTGGTTTGGTTGTACGAGGCTTTGGTCCTGCTATGTGGTCTTAATGAGGCCTGTAGAAGGATGCAGAATGGACAATATCGGCATGCTGCTGAAATGGGCGTACCCGACGGCAGCTCTAGAACAATTCTGGAGTTCTTTATCAACAAAGTGGCTCAAGTCTATGATAACCGACCATTCGGGTCCACGATCACATCCCCTGCCATCATTCAGCAGCCTGACAAGGTGCAATACATCTTTTCATCCAATCAGCGGAGCTCGGAAGATGCTCAATATGCAGCCACGACCATCCAAATCCTCCTTGACAAAATGGGTTCACGGAATCGCATCGACGTTGGAGACGATGATAGGTCTCCGGTCTTTCGCGAACTTCTTCGCGACATACTCCTAATTCATAAGCAGCGAGTTACTCTGTATAAGTCGCGACTTAACCAACGACTGAATCAATGCATCGAAGAATTAAAGGCTAGGTCCTTGGACGCGGGTATGTTTCCCTTGACCAAGTCAGTGGCGTCTTTGGTGTTCAACTATTATTCAACTTGGTTGATCAAATAGTTGTTTCTCTAGGAGACCCTCTACTTGATGAGCTAGAATATCTCCAAGCTTTGACCAAGACCGAGGTGCCTTTGGATGGCAGTGAAGGGTGTAAGTCTGGTCTAGGCTTCCCTTGATGTTTGGAAGAGTAATGCTAAATCGGCCCCTTATTACAATGCAGTCGCTCGCAACGGTGAACACCTGATTTTAGCTGCAAACACCTTTCGCAAAAGTCTGATGTACGAATCGGTCATTGAAAGAGCCCGGGAAGGACGCTTCAACGAGTCCGAGCGCTGGTGTCAGCTACAGCACTTCATCGGACGGCTTTCTTCGTATCACGGTGCTATTCGGGCTATTATCATTTCCGGCCGCAGACGTCTCCACCCGGACCTGTTCGAAAATTTCGAAATAACATGGCTGCCGTCAAGTATACCCATGAAAAATCCGATGGACACACTCCAAAGCCATATGGGTATGAAAACGCAACAAAAGAGGCGTTCGGCGGACAATATTATCAGGAAAATGATGGGAAACTCGGCGGACCGTGATACGACTCTCGAACAGGCCAAAACTCTTCAGGTCTGTGGCTTGGATGAGTCCATCATGCATCAGTGTCAAAGGACGTCTTTCAAACCCATAGTTCATTGCGAAATTTTGTTATTGCATTATCTGGATCAAGAATATTGCCGAAATCGCTATCACATCCCGTTCTTCGACGACGTCAAATTTATAGGCTGCAGTGAACCTACCTGCCGGCTGTGCGAATATTACTTCGCTGCTTATAATACAGACATCCAAGTTCGTCCCGGACACAAGAATGTCTACTCAAATTGGACTATCCCGAATCTTTTTGCCAACGACTTGGCTGAAGCGAATGAGAGAGACAGCCTGCTTGACAAGGTCGTCAGCAAGATTAGAGAGGATGCACTTCGCGCTTTGAGAGAGAAAATACCCGATGGCAAAAGATTTGACTCAGACACTCACTCATCTTACCCAACACATCAGTCGCTGGAAACCAATGGTCAGCCAAACATGGATGGGCTAGCGTCCGCATTGGGAGACTTAACTCTCGTTAACCCAGCCGACATGGACGATTTTCAATCCTTATCAGAAGAAAACCGGAGCATCTTCTTAGAAGCAGAGGGAAACGAGACAGATGAAAATGATTGGGCAGGCTATGGCCATGCTGAACATTCTGGTGGCGTGCCTCTTCAGGGTTGAGGAAGGCCTCGGTTGTTTTTTACATGTATATTTCCCTGCCTTTTTTCTTTTCCCCATGCCTTACCGTTCGTTCTCTTGTGCGAGGGAATGCTATAGGTGGTAATCATGCTTGATACTCATAAATTTTCAAACATCGTCCATTCCTACTTATGCCTTTTGAAACCGCTGCCTGCTTCACATGTGAAGCATTTTCAAATATGCTGCTTGGTTTCTGTCAACAACTGAACATGCGATGCTGACGTTGGTCATATACTACACTTCTTGAGGCACGACCAGAAGCGAGTCGTCCTCTTTCGTAGCATCCGCTCAGGTTGTGCAGCCTCTTTTGCCATTGTAATTGTATGAACGGACGGGCGTGAATGGACGGGTGTGAACCCCGTTGCCCGAAGCAAGCAAGCAAATATTTGTAGTAAAAGATCAAGCCTGGAGTGAGTGCTTTTGAGCGTTATTATGCCCTGAATCGAGAGAGCGCAATGGGTTTCTTCAGATCCTTCGAAGGGCATGACTTAAAGTATTACCGTCTCAGACTCACAGAAATCCACTGGCGGGAGAGGTAGCATCAAATAAGCCTGCGTAGCTCGGTCTCGGTTCTGAGGGAGTCATATAGCGTTGAACACTGCTAATCGAACCACTCTCATCCTTACCTCTCGGAGCCGGTTTCCAATCCCTCGCTACAGCGGGTCATCCTACCAGAGAAGATCTCTGCCCATTCGGAGCCGGCTTTTCATCGACGGCCGTCGCAAGTCGGCAGCAATCTTCTCTCCGATCAAGTGATCTCAACTTCAGCCTCAAGATGTGGCACGTTCAATAAACTTCGGCAGCCCGCCCGGCTGGCCATGCTAACAATCGATGACTTAGCTAGGCTTCCCGCAACAGAAGCCAGTCTACTGATCGCATTCGCCATCACTATCTTTATTTGCTCTAAGCCGTATAAAGAAATCGCACAGACTTCCGTCTCCAAGTAACCCCTCAGACTCTCCTGCCAGTTCCCCGAATTGGTAGGCTGTCAAGGCAACTGTGACCCGCGACGGCGTTTCATCCCATCTACGACGTTGATCGGAGCTCCGTTATTCCCTCAAACGGGAGTTCCTCAAGGCCAGAACCTGACCCGGGCGTCTGGATCAGCACCAGATGGTTTGATGTGGACCTTGTTAGTATGACGGGATCTTCGCGATTGTCTACCTGCAGAGGACGGATGCCGCCGCGTCGCAAGATCTGAAGCGCTCACAGCAAGCTCTACCAGATACGTCCACTCCAACCGGCTGCCGGTGAGACCCAGATCTTTGGGACGTCGTCCGGCGTGGGAAACATCCCAACATCTTAAACGTTCGTTGCATTTTCATAAAAGACTTTGATGCCCCCTGGTGAATGTAAGCGTGAACCAAGTAACTTGTTGATCCGGTCTGGCACCTGTCCATCTCTTCTGTTTGATTCCGATCTCGTTTCACTCATTTCTCCCTCAATCTCTCTCGCTCTGGTCAGCGAAGGTCGTGAGGATGAGGGCCTTTTTTGTCGTGGGCTCATTGGTGCTCAGCACTGTGGCTGCGGCGCCAGCAAATGATGTCCAAAAGAGAGACCTCCAAACAATTCAGGGGGCGTTCGTGTCCATTTCAGTGGCATCATCGAACTTGGATACAGCCATTAGAGTAAGTTGGCTTCGAACAACAGGCTTTGAATTGTTTACACACTAATCGAGGGGTCCAATTCACTAACACGATATCAGGCTTTGACACCCGATCCCAACAGCGCTTCTGCTCTCGGCCCGGCGATGATGGGACTCGAAGGTGCACTTGCACAAGCCCGTACTGATGTTGCGCCGACCTCACCGATCGGAATCTCTGACGGCATCGCTCTTCAGAACGCCGCCGATACTTTGACGAAGAGCGTGAAGATCATGGTCATGTCAGCAATGCTCCAGCGCCAGACGCTCGACCAGATCAACATGACGCCGATGCTTCTCCAATCTTTCATGAACCAGAACATGTTGTCGGCTGCACTTGGCCAGGTCGTTCTTTCCAAACTTCCTGCGGAGGGGCTCCAAAGCGCCATGGCCGCATTTGCCGGAGCTGGTGGCTCAGTTGGAATGGGAATTGTATCGCTAGCCAACCCCCCTTTGGCGATGCCTCCCGGTATGGGTCCTCCCATGGGTGGCGCCCCTCCAGCAGCTATGCCAGCCACTGGGGCCCCTCAGACGGGTTCGCCGCAGACAGGTTCTCCAGGAAACTCCTCCCAGTCTGGCCAGAGAGGCTCCCCTCAGATGAGCTCACCTCAAACCGGATCTCAGCCCGCGGGCGGCAGTCAGGGACAGGCGGGTAGCGCAGCGAGTAGTGTGTCGGTGAGCCAGGCTCTGGAGGGCAACGTTGTGGCGCTTTCCTGAACATCGCCAACTAGCAGTTGAGCTGGTGTTAAACATCGTTCAGATCGCAACGAAATGCGTTAGAGTTTGGAAGAGAATTGATGTGGGACGAGATCAAGTATTAGGTACTGTTGCGCAATTCAGCGAAGTCACTCGTTTGGTTGTTCCTTCAAGAATTGTTTTGCACCGTGAATCCGTTGTTTAACTGTCAGAGACTCGCATAGCATAAAATAATGATCTATGAATAACACTTGATCTAACTGGACTAGCCGCTCCGCAATTCGCGTGTAACTAACGAGTTTTCACTGATGTGATCCCGAGACTTTGGCTTCGAAGCAATACTTCTCTGGAGGTAACGGAAAAACAAAGTATTGTGAGCGAAAGGCTCTCATGATGGCTTTGGAACGAAATAGACACACACACAGAGACATATTGGTGGTATGTCAATTACGTATATCCACCGCAAAAGTCTTGAGGCTTCACCAGCACTTTTTGATCCTTGTGTCAAAGATGTCGAAATAAGTCCAATGGTTGAAGTTTAGACACTACTCATACTGTTAATTTAGTATGATAGCTTGCCGCGATTAATCAAACTTCACCATATTGAGTCAAGGAGACTGAACCTCTCAAGTCTATGACTTCCGGGAGTCCGTGGCCTGAATTGGTAATTTGTCTCATTGGACGAAAGCAAGTCTATTTCCGCGCCTAACATGAACCCGGTCTGTACTGAACTAAGCAGACCATTTCGTGTGTTCCTCTCTACGCCTAGCCCTGGGGAATATCCGAAACCCCGACGGCCGTCTAATAACAGTTCTGCCCACACCAGTGATCGAAATTCAACCCTCAAAGACAAATCAGCAACAAAACTCTGCTTGGCATATTTAACTCCGTTACTGTGGCAAAGCTGATTCAGCAGCAACCAGCAATACGGTCAATCGGAAAAGCTGGTCTGTAACAATGGACACTGAAGTTGGCGACGGTGATAGGGTCGATGTAATAAAGGAGGAGCTCAAGGTTGGTCCAGGTATTGAAGTAACGCCGTATGTGGCGGAACCGTCTACCGAAATAGTTGGCGATGGGTTTTCGGATGGAAAAGAAAGCGTAGCAGTGGGTGATGCCAACGTTGCGTCCGTTGCCAAGTTGTCTGTAACGGTTGCTGCATTCGTTGTCGATGCCGAGGCTGTTGATGACAGTATGTTTGGCAAGTTCGTTGCGACGGATAGTGAAGTGAGGTCCGAGATTGGAGTCGAGCTCAAAGAACTCGTATCTTGGCTTGCTTGGATGGAACGGGACCCGGACGTCGTGCTTGTGATCAAGTCTAAAGACGGAGATTGCGTGATTGAAGAGGTTGGATTTGAGACGGAATCCACATTGCTTGTCAATGGGTTCGAAGTAGATGCTGATATTGATGTGAACGTCGTGTTCGCAAATGAACCAGTCAGAGAGACTGTCTCACTTGTTGACGATGGACTTATAGAAGAACTGCTGGTGGGCTCTGTGCTTTCAGAGGCCGCAACAGTCGTACTACCGAGGAATGTTGTACTGAGAGAAAAGGTGCTGTCCGTTATGCTACTTGACAGTAGACTTGTAAGATCCGAGGACGTGCCGCTCAAAGTGAATGTCAGGATCGTTGTTGAGTCAGAAGAAGTCAAGGCGACGAGTGTGTCGGTACTAGAGAACAGTTCGGTTGTCGAGCTGCTACTCAACGTGGGGATATCTGTCGATGAAAGAGAGGTCGTTGGTAAAACAGACGTCACTGAGGGGAGACTCGTTGATGACTGAGAGTTTGTCGACGATAGAGAGCTCACAGACGAGGCAAGACTGATTGAAGATGACAAAAAAGTCGAAGACGTCGTTCCTGTCGAAATTGAGCTTATAGAGGACGTCGAGGAGTTAGAAAAGATTGTGGAAAGAGCAGTTGTGGAAGTTGAGCTGCTTGATGATAGTGTCGTTGAAAGGGTGGAAGTCGTTGAGCTCAGGCTTGAAGAAGAAATTGAAGGAGAAAACGACGTTGGAACACTGGACGTTGCTGGCTCAGTGCTTGACGTAGTGGTGTCAGCCGTAGACGTAGATGATGTGAGGAAAATTGAAGATGTAGAAGAGCTAGTCGTGTTTGCGAATGGACCCCCGGTTGATGTTGAAGAGAGCTGGGTATTGCTGGTCACTTCGATGCTGGTAGTTGTGAGGGACGAGGCCGTGATAGATTCGGAAGAAGTGAAAGAGGACGTCGGACTTGCGGTCGACGACAGGGACAACACAGAGCTTGATGAGCTTGCAGAAGAGGCTGACGAAGGGGTTGAAGTCGATAAGAAACTCAACGCAGTTGATGAGAAGGTGGACGTGGATGAGGTAGATGATGGAGTGGACGATGAGGGAGATGAGGGAGATGATGAGGGTAGAGTTGACGATGAAGTCGATAAGATTGTAGAGGAAGTTGAGGATGTGTCTGTTGTGGACTCTGAGCTTGTTAAAGGAATCGAAGAAGAGTCTGAAGACGAGGTCGACGATAAAGTCAAGGGTGAGGTTGAATCAGAGGCCGAGGAGGATGATGACAGGGAAGTTAAAGAGGAAGTCGAGGGGGGGGAGATTGAGGATGGGTCTGTGGTGGACTCTGACGTTGATGCGATCGTCGAAGAAGAAGTTGAGGTGGTTGAGGATGAGTTCGAAAAGAAGGTGAAAGACGAAACTTCAGTGCTGGACTCCGAGTTCGATGACGCTGTCGACGACGTGCTTGATTCAGTCGTTTCGGTAGTAGTCGGAACAGGTGGAACCTCCCGGAAGCCAAAATACACGCTGTAGTGGTCTAATCCATCTGCAAACCCACCACAACGAGCATTGTTGTTCCCACTGCAGCGAGTACTGCACATTTCCTCGGGGTCATAATAAGCATCTGGGTTATTGATGCCTGCCCGGCTGCACAGACACGTAGTTCCCATCAAAGCAGCGAATCTGCGTACCAAAGTTGAACATTGAGTTTGACAGCTTTCGGGCTCCACGTTGGCGTCATTTTGAATTGTTTCAAATTGTGCCATGTTCGTGATGACATAACATCCCAAGTAGCCCATAACGCCAGAGACTGGGAAGTTAATTTGGGCGTAAGTCAGCTCCGCGAGAAGCGACAATGTGAAAATCCATATCATAGCTAGCCGCATCGGAAGTCTGATTGAAGTGAATGAGTGTGGAGCCGTAAATCGAATCTACAGTTCTCAAAGACACCCAAGAAGCTAGAGAACCGGGAGAGACAGCTTAAGGTATAGGACATGAAATGAGAGTGAGAAGCAGCGATTTGAATACAACAGCAGACGTGTTAGTACCTTCTGAGCGCGTGAACAGCTGCGTACTTTAAGACTTCTGGTCTGGCCTTGTTCCTTATCTTCGTCCCCATCACCATCACCACCACCATCCCTTATCCCTTTTCTTAAGAACCCGTTGAGAACTCGCGATGAAACATGACCTGAGCTGCCTTGAGCCGGAGGCGCAGGGCGATGGCTCACGTATAGCTTCCTCACCACCAGTCAATGACGATGAGACGAAGATTGGAGAGCAAACATTGGCTTCAGAAGCTCTTGGAAGGGAGTAGGTTCGAGGCTGGGAGGCTCGTCGGCCATCCCCTAGATTCTTTTGACGGGAAGCGGACCGCTGTAAGACACTGCCCTAGCCACGGTGTAACGGATCGTGTCACCCACACCTTGCACAATATCGAATCCGATCAAGGGCCGGGAAAAGAAAAACTCGCCAGTCCAAAACTCAATCAATCAAGATAAGCCGATGACCTTTCAGCCCGAAAAAAGGGAAACTCGGTCACCCGACTTTTTGCTCAAGGAGGTGTACTCCTGGTCCGACACACCCGGCTATCCGTCGCGTGTCGTTTCCGAGACAACAGCTATCCTTCAATGGAACGCAATTGATTTTTCAGAGGGACGTTGAATACCATCTAGGTTTCTCTTGTCAATTTAGCCTGATGGTCACATGACATGGCCGTCTCGATGAAATGTGATGTGTCGTACTCATGGTCTTAGATCCTCATCGTTGCTTGTACCAGATCAGCTCGGCCAGTCCAGACTCCCTCTTTATGGGACTCTTGGTCCATGCACCCCGCAAACCCGGAGCTTCCGGGGCCTCGGCTAGCTTCCCGGCAGCCCACAGGCTCCATAGAAAAGGCTTTTCGCCCCGCACCGTGACCTGGATTGAAGAATTAAAACTCAGGTCACGTCTGCATCCAGTCGAAGTCCACCTCATCCACAACGAATACGGAGAAGCTCTTTGAGCAGTCGGCAATGAGAGTATGGAGAGACCTCGGCGATCGTTAAGGGACCGTGCGAACATTGTGTGTGTTGAATGTCACTCACGCAAAGTAAGCTACTTCCTAGCCAAAAGTATCTATATCTCTATTTTGACATGGAGCTGAGATAACACGAAGTACTTAGGTAAAATGCGACTTACAAGTAAGCCAAGATAAGACGTGTCGAAATTGTCGACGTGCCCAAGTTCCCTGCGTGTACGTTCGCTCCTTCATGGCATGCTCTCGCAACAGAGATGCTGACTAGCGAGAATAAGTCTCCGTAATGGAGTCCGGAAGAGGCGCCCGCGGGGGACTGATTTGGGCGAGGCCGGCATCAGAACGCCATCTGTTTCGTTGCCGGTGTCAGATCAGATGACCAGCCCGAGGAACAGCCCAACAGGAGAGGCAGTCAGCAAACTTTCAGAGACCAGCAGCAGTCTCCAGCGAGATATTGTTTGGAGACCTAGCAGCTTTATTGACAAACACTCCATCATGCACGACCCAGTCAAGACACCACCCAATGTCGTGCTAGACAATCTTGCCACTGGAAACGTTGGTGTAAATGAGGCGATTCTTAGAGTCACCGGGGCTAGCATTCTTCCGCACCCCGTCCTACTACAGGCTCTGAAGGACTCGTTCTTTGAGCACGTCGTATTTTACTACTCCGTGGTCGACCCCGGTGATGTTGCCGGCCCAAATGCATCTGTGCTTCTCCAGCAAGCAGTTTGCTTAGCAGGCGGCCTAATGCGACACGGAGAGGATAGCGTCGGTCTCGCGGGTTCGCAATACGAGAAAGCCAAAACGCTGATTCATATTGGCTTCGAGCCTGACCAGTTGACGGTGCTGAAATCTCTGTGCCTGATGTCATGCTGGAGCGCGTCTTCCCCCTACCTCGTCACGCTAGATGGTCCATGGCACTGGACGGGCATGGCTTCGCGAATGGCGCTTCAACTTGGTCTTCAGAAACAGTCATCATATTCCAATCGCCAGGGTGCTGGTTGCTTGCGGCGAATATTCTGGCATCTTCAGGTGAGCATCATGCATTTACGCTTCCTCAAACGCCGGCCAGAATATTGCTTTCAAAGAAACGTGATTAATGACTTGACGCAGACGAGTGAAATTCTCATGACAGCCTGCTGGGGTCGACCTCTTCTCCTCAGGCCTGAAGACACTGATGTACCGCCGATCTCAGAGGAAGACTTTTCAGTGCAGAACTTTGGCGCGATTGCTACAACTTGGATGACGAAGCTCATTCAGATCGTCGGGGTCATCACCACCCTAAAATCCAGGAAAGGTGGCCCAACGTCGGCAGAAGTCGAAGCTGTCGTCGCATCACTCTACGGCTGGCTGGCTGACTTGCCCGAAGACTTACGACTTTTCAACCCCGACGGCACCAGAAAGCCATTCAATCAACAACGCACCGAGACTTTCATCTTCTACTTCGTCGCCATCATCCTGACTCAGACGGCCAGCAGAAGTGCATCGCCGACGTGGAGAACTTCGCCGGCATCGGTCCTTGCTGCATCCTGTGCTGCTCGGCTTTATGACGAGATCCGATGCAGAGAGAGAGTTGTACACCTGATACACTACCACGCCTTCCTTGTATTAGCCGTCGGTGTTGTCTTAATATCTCATCAACCTCAATCGCAAGAGAAAGAGACCTTACTCCGCAGAGATCTTGATGTTATACATTCCATTCTTGAGGGTATGAGCGCCAAGTATGGAGGGGCTCGCGCTATTTTGCAAAAGTTTAAAGACGCGCCACGAGACTTTGGGGGTGACCGGGTTGATGAGTCCTCGTGTACGAGAAGCGACACGGCAGGCTCCCATACTTTGTCAACAGCAAAGATTGTGCAGCGCCATATGGGCGACCTATTTGCCTTTCCATCAGAAATGTGCGAGAACATGGATATCCTATCACAGAATAACGACACTAGAGACGAAGTTGTTTTCCAGGACGATGCTTTTGGAAATTTTGGGCAGATGGGTGAGGATTTCGACGACATTAACTCGTTCATGGATGTACTTGGCATGGACTTCACAAATTTCGATGGCGCCAATGGCTAACGCCCCGACTTTCACATGCCAGCGAACACCGGTTACCACTAGGTATTATACCATGATTCAATACAGCTTCGGCCTCACTATTGCTTAAGGTCTTGCTGATGCGTAGGTCGGCATGAGTTTACCGACCTCGGCGCCGTGTTCCCCAAAGGATAACTCTGAGCTTCCGGCAGTTCGGCTCTCGGCACTGCACCGTTCGCTCTTATGTTCGGTGTCCGGATTGAGATAGAAGAAGTTTTAATATAGATGTCACCACCTATTTAAGACCTAGTCGAGCTTTCCCTTTGTTGTACATAGGACGGCTAACAGAGAAGGATCCCAGCAGATCGGATTGAAGATTGAAGGTGGAATATTTGCTGCTTCCGTTACAACTACATACTTCAGACCACATACTAGCTTTCAAGAAAACCATCACGAATTCAAGACTGCAACAAGATCATGTCGGAACCTAGCGAAAGGCTGGTACAGGGTGCCCAAATGGCTCAAGCCTTCTTGGGGGCCAAACTTCTTAGCGCCATTCAAGAGCAAGCAGTAGGTAAACCATTACACTACAATACCGTGCAAGGGATAAAGCTGAGAGAAGAGTGATAGCGCGACGATCTTCCAAGCAAAGTCAGTGCCGAATACATTGCGGAAGTGTGTTTCTCTAGTTATGCTCGTCCCGGACTCGAGTTTAAGGAGAGGTCTCTGGTCAACATTGGCATGATGATAGCGCTCAACAGGACCCCAGAACTACGCATACATATCGCGGCAGCACTCAACCTTGGTATTTCTGAAGAGAAGATTGTAGAGACTTGCCGGCATGCGATGATTTACTGCGGCGTTCCGGCCGGCAGAGAAGCTTTGGCTGTTGCAAGCGATATTTTTGCCAAAGTCAGGGGTACCACAAAGGAAGAAAGAGCAAAGATGTCCTAATTGTACACGAAGATACAACAAACGTGAGCAGATTACGCAAGTTTCCATCCGATGGCAGGGACACTTGACAGAGACTCATCGAATCCAAGGCTCTGGAAAGGAATACTCATGCTGATTTCCGGTGTGCTGTTGCCCATGTAGTCAATCAACCAATGCAGCCATCATCGTTCCACCCCTCTCCAAAGGTGGGAAAAAAAATCTGGTCTTACATGGCTTCAAATTAGGCGCGAGCTCAAATGAAGAAAATGCCTCTCAGACCTGGGTTGCTCACCGAACAACAGGATGTGACCTACCTTACCATATGATTAATAAACCCAATAAAGGTCTATTTTAGACAGAAAGATTGTAGAGATGCATCAAAGCACTCTACTTGGGATCAGGCGATGAAGCGGGGTCCTTTGAGAATTGATTCGTGTTGATCATGGTGCTGGCCTTAATGCGCACTTGGCGTTTGGGGAATAAGGGTGTGCCGTACCTGCTGCTATTCTCGGGATTAAGGTCGACTTGAAGATTGTGAAGTTTCCTTTTGAGGAACAAAAGGCTGACGTATCTCAGTTGGCCTTCATGCAGCCTAGGAGGCACGAGGAGAGGAAGTCATCTATCAAATTCCTGGAGCAAGGTGTTGCCAAACACATGACGCGATTGACTCCTGATAGGTCTTGGATCTCGGATTATTCATGGCCGAAATCCGTATATCTCGTGCGAGGACATCACGTAGAAATTCAGACTATGACCAGCATGGGTGTTTCCGTGGATCATACACCGCCCGACTTGATGAATAGGTGTTAGAGCGCAAGTATTTGCGCTGCCGTCGAGACGGGAGGAAACAGACAGTAGATGCGGGGATTACGCTCGGACGAGCATGCTTAGGGTCGGGTGTAGTGACAGCGGCTTCATCCGCAAGAGGTTACATGGGCCTTCAGGTATGGCGGAGTGTAAGACTTTCGTGGTCTTTGTATTTTCTTTTTCCTAGACTCTGTATTTGCCGAATCTTGTAGAGCGTTGACCCTGATTTTGCGGGGCATCGAGTGCCGAATGCCATGTGCCGAGTACCGAGAGTGCCGGCGCTTCTCTCCTAGACGTGAAGATGAAGGCCCACTATTGCTCGGGAACTCATGTTGGGTAATAAGCGATGCGATCCATTGACATCTAAGCTGATTGGGGTTGATTATGCCTACGGTGAGCATTCGACGCCGAATCCGAGGCATCATCGTGCTGGCAATCACAGCAGTACGGCCTGTTGCTGTGATCATACCAGCACATCCAGGCGACATGCATACTCGTATAAAACAGTTTTGAGTCCACTCTCATTTGCTTGGAAGCCTAGTGCGTGACAGTTGCTTACAGGTTCCCCGATAGGCAAAGCGCTCTAATTGAACCAACGCCCTATCCCAGTGTCCATCTGACCGAGAATCAACATGGCTTCCTCGCGCATAACTCAGATCAGCAAGCATCTCGGACCTGGGAACTCACGAACACCAGATCCCAAGCCTGCTGAGCCTTACGTAGTCGTCGAACAACCCCTAGGAACAGGAAAAAGGGTCCGCATCATCACAATCGGCAGCGGCGCAAGCGGCCTCAACATGATCCGCACCTTTCGTCAGAAACTCACAAACTTCGAACACATTGTCTATGAGAAGAACCCCGAAGTTGGAGGTACTTGGTACGAAAACCGCTATCCGGGATGCAAATGCGATATACCCTCGCACAACTACCAATTCTCCTGGAAGCCGAATAAAGAGTGGAGCAGCTTTCTGTCTCCGGCGGAAGAGATTCAGACGTACTTGTGCCGCTTGTGTGACGGCGAAGACCTACGGCGCCAGATCAAGACTAATCATCTCGTGACAGGAGCATTCTGGGATGAAGATGCTGGGGGATGGACGGTCAGGGTGAAGAATTTGGAGGACGGTGTGGAGTTTGAGGATTATTGCGAGTTTCTGCTGAACGCGAGTGGTATTCTCAAGTACGCAAACGCCTTTTGTCAACTCACTACGATTTTAATTTGAGTGTTGTTGCTGCTAACGCTGACCTTGGTACAGCAACTGGAAGTGGCCAGATATTCCCGGCTTGCACGACTTTTCCGGCTCCCTCCTTCACAGCGCCGACTGGGATGATAAGTTTGACTGGAAAGGAAAAAGAGTCGCCATCATAGGCAATGGCTCATCTGGTGTTCAGATCGTTCCAGCTGTACAAAGAGGTGAGTTCTGGAAAGTTTCAGTTGCATGCCATGAAAAGACTGACCCAATAGGGAAAGACGCAAAGGAAATGATTCATTTTATTCGGGGACCAACTTGGATTATGCCGCCTCGGGTTCAGACATTGCTACTGGGCAAAGCAAAGCAAACGATGGAGCAGATCGAGTTGGACGATGATGAGAACTTCACGCCAGCTCAGATTCACAAGTTCAAGTCGGATCCTGCACTCTACAAGTCGTTCGTAAAGGCCATAGAGGAGCAAGTTAACAACAATTTCTTCCTCGTTGGTGACCCAATCTTCTCTTTTCTGAACTTTCCACTAACTGTAAGGCTCCAGGTATTAAAAGACTCGGAGACTCACCGACAAGCAACAGCAGGTGTCACTCAATACATGCAATCAGCACTCAACGACGACCAAAGACTGATCGATATCCTGATCCCCAAGTTTCCTATTAGTTGTCGTCGGATGACACCAGGTGTGGGGTACCTAGAATCGTTGACGAAACCCAATGCGAGAGTCATCTCGGGAGGAATCGCTCGCGTAGTCTTGGATGGCCTGGTTACAGAATCCGGGGAACACATTGCGGTTGATGCCATCGTGTGTGCCACAGGATTCGATGTCTCGTTTCGCCCGCGGTTTCCCATTATTGGACGGCGGTCTACAAATCTCCAGGATATCTGGGCCAAGGATATCCCGAAAGCCTACATGTCTTGCGCGGTTCCCGAGATGCCTAATTACTTTGGTAAGTTCATATATGGTAGTATCATCATATACCCCTCACTCTGCTAACAGATAATCCAGTCTTCCTCGGTCCAAATGCCCCAATCGGCCATGGCAGTGTCTTCACGATAACCGAGCTGCTCGCAAAATACATCGCCGGCATCATCAAGAAATGCCAAACTGAGGGCATCAAATCCATCAGCCCCAGCCTCGACGCAGTCAATGAGCTTCACGAACATACCCAAGCCTTCATGCCGCGAACAGCGTGGGCAGGGTCCTGCAGGTCCTGGTTCAAAGGTGGTGCTGTGGATGGACCCGTCACGGCGCTGCATCCCGGGAGCAGAATCCACTTTTTCCACATGTTGGAGAACTTTCGAGGTGAGGATTGGGATTATGTGTATGAGAGGAAAAGAAATCGGTTCGCGTATCTAGGGAATGGGATATCGACGAAGGAGCTTGATGGGTCTGATCCAACTTGGTATCTGAATGATCCTGATGGTGATGAGAGATAAGGTAATATGAGTGAGATCTTGACGATGCGTGCACATCAGTTGGGTTTCCTTCTTCTCTCTACCTTAGCTTCTACGTTTCAAGTGTTCCAACCACCATCAGTAAAGACGGTACAACTTGAATGGGGAGTCCCTTATACAGTTCAAATATTCTTCAATGCAAACCCCATTGTCTAGAAATTGCTCGCGGCAACCTTGTGTCGCTAGCTGATCCACTTTGGCTTAGAGCCGGGATTGAAAGGGGCGCCAACCGGCATTCGGTACATGTGGGATCTCGGCACACAAAGGCGTAGGCCGTTCAGCTTACGAATCGAAAGCTTCAAATCTCAAAGTCAGACATTAAGGGAAACCTCTTGAATAAAGTCCAGACGGTCCACGGCTCAATCGTTACCTCTGACAATCTGTGGTGTATCAGACCTATCAATCACCTCCAACACAACCTCCAACATGGGTACAGACGCACAAAAGAGGGTCAGCCTGACCTTCCTCTCAACCGGCTCAGTCCGCATCAAACTCCCCATGAAAAGCCAACCGGTAAAATCCTACCTCGACCAATTCGTCACCCTGCGCCGCTTCCGCTGCATCGCAAACCGCCAATGGACGGAACCCCTCCCCATCGGCGTCTTCCTCATCGCCCACCCAGGAGGACCAATCCTCTTCGACACGGGCGAGTCTCCCTGCTTCAATGACCCGGGCTACCTCCCCTACCTATCCCCGACAAAGATGTTCAGCAGCGTGGACATCAAGCCTGAAGACGGAATCGTGCAGCAATTACAGCGTCTCGGTGTGGAGCCCAGCGATCTACAGGCCATCGTGCTGAGTCACCTCCACGGCGACCACGCTGGCGGATTGAAGGCTCTGAAAACTGCTGCGCCGGACGTTCCTGTGTTCGTGAGCAAGGAGCACTGGGCCGCTTTTGGGAATAGCCCCATGACCGCGACGCTTGCGGGGTGCGTGCCACAGCATTGGCCGGAAGGATTCCAGCCTACTCTTGTGGATTTCTCGGCCGGGGCCGTGGGGCCGTGGGAGACGTCTGGCCGGGTCACGGCTGATGGGAAGGTTGTGGCGGTGCATACACCCGGTCACGTCCCCGGCCACATTTCGCTAGTCGTGTATGGCGATAACGAGGACGGAACAACATCGACGTACTGCTTGCTTGGGGACGCGAGCTATGGTATCGATTTGCTGGATAAGGAAGAGCCGGATGGTATTAATGACGACCCCATGTCGGCGTTGGATAGCTTGCGAAAGATCAAGGCCTTTGCGAAACAGAGTGATGTGGTTGTTCTTCCTAGCCATGACCCGGATACACCTCGATTGCTGAAAGAGCGGGTGTTGTACAAGCCACAGGATATTTGAATTCGGAGAACGGGTGCGAAGCACATTTACTACTTAAGCAGATAATGTCTCAATACAGATTCACACTTCACAGAACCATGGGCGATTAGATGGCGGTGATCCCAGCCATTGACCTTTTGCTACACAGGAAATGCTCTTCAAGTATTATGGTACAAGTCGTTGTCCACCGAGACGTCTTGATGGGGGTATCAATTGTATGGATCCGGAGACGAGTCCCTTATTTGGCATCCTTCTTGGCCTTTTCGGCAATCTCCTCCGCCTTCTTCGACTTAGCCTCAAGGACTTTCTTTACCTCCTCAATAGTCTCCTTGAAGAGCTTCTCTCCCTCCTCCTTGTGCTTGTCTGCGACCTCGCGGAGCTGCTTCAGCTTGGGGATAATCTTGTCTCCGTCGGGGATCATCTTAAAGTATTGATCGAGACCAAAGCTCTCACCGATTTGAGAGCCCTTTGACTTGGCCTTGTCGACGGCATCGGTGACATAGCTCTCCAGGCCTCCAAGGTCTCCGGATTCGGTAGCCTTCTTCGCCTTCTCGAAGAGCTCCTTGGCGTTGCCCTTCTTGAGCGCGTCGGCATTCTTCTCAATCAGCTCCTTGACCTTGGGGTTCTTGTCAAGGTAGGGCTTGGCCTCCTCGAGCGCCTTCTTCCAAGCCTCATCGCCAAGCTTCTGAACCTGCTGAATCTTCTCCTCGATGAGCTTCCGCACCTTGTCGAAGTTGCTGGCAGTGAACCCGCCAGCCAAGACGTCCTTGACTTGCTTCCATGTCTCGTCGACCTGCTTCTTGGCCTCGGGGCCGTACTTGTCTCCTAAGTCCTTGAGCTGGTCAATGTTTCCTCCAAGTTTCTCCTTCAGTTGAGGGTGGTTGTCGACGATGTCCCCAATGGCGTCACCTCCAAGGCTTGCGAGCTTCTGGGTGATGTCTGCGAGGACCTCGTATGCCTTGTGGACGGCCTCCAGGCTCAGGCCGGCCTTGGCAACCTCCTGGAACTGCTTGTAGGCGTCATCAACAATCTTGTCGGCCTCTTCCTTGTGGTTCTTGCGGACAGTCTCGAAGTCATTGAACGCAGAGTCGACGTAGGAGCGGCCACCAGGGATCCAGCCAACGTAGGAGTAAGCGAACTGCTTGATGTAGTCGATAGCTTCATCGGTAGAGGGTGTGTTTTCTTGCAGCTTCTGGGCGGCGGCTGTGTACTTCTTCTCGGCCTCCTTGGCGGCCTTGTTAACCTTGGAGGCAGCGCGACCAGCGGGGGTGAAGGAGTAGAGGGCGTAGAAGATACCAGCACCAGCAAGGCCACCAGCGACACCGGCCCCGAAGTGAGAGCTGGTTCCGCCTGTTGAGGATGAGGCGGTCGTCGACTGGAAACGGAGCTGCTGGCGGGGTGCGCGGACAGCCCGGGTAGCTCTGGGGAGCGTCGAGCGAACGAGGGGTCTTGCGGACATCATCTTGGCGGTCTGGTGAAAGGATGGTATTATTATGGCAAGTTGTGTACAGTTGGAAGGATCAACGACTTCAAAGTTGGGAGAATTGAAGGAGGAAAGGTTGGAAGATGGTATCGGGAAGTAGTAGGTCAATGGGAAAATTGGAAAAGAAGAGAGCAAATAGCAGATTTTGAAGGGACGAGAAAGAATTCTCAATTGCCTCCTCCCTCTCGACTATGGCTAGCGTCGGACCGGCGACGGAGGACAAATGGGCAGGGGCGAAGCTCGTCACACGTGCTTCAAACGCAATTGGAGTCGAAATGACGACGGCAGGTGCAGCTGAAGACCAAGGCGAAGGAGCTCCTTCCGCCTGCCGGACTCGCGCAGACAATACCCCTGTCGCCCCTGCCATCTGCAAAGAGCTGAAAAGTGACATGGCAAGTGCCAATGGCCTGGGAAAGTGGAGGAAGAAGGAGGAACCAGACCGGGCTGGAATGAAAGCTCCGGCGTCAATGACCGGGTGATGACGTCGAAGGCGTTCGTCGCCAGGGGCAGCTTCTTCCCCAATCAGGACAGCTACCCCGCATGAGGGGGGCATTGGATGTCCCCAAATGTGCGGGAGATCGGCGATCAATCGCTGCGGGGAAGTTCTCCTCCAGCGTGGGCCTTCCTCGTCATTGTGATGAACTGCTCAGGTTAATTCGGATGAAGGGTTCAAATTCGCGTGAGAAAATTGTCAGGCTTTGCCGGCAACGAAGCTATTTACTCTTTGCTCTTTTTTTCCGCAGATGGTCAATTGTGCAGGAACCTTACCGAGGCCCAAAAACAGCCTCTCCGTTGTCTCCTCCGAGTAGTGGCCAAGTACCCCACGTGACCTTTTGATTGATCTTCCAGCCGCCAGGTTAACAACACATCATCACTTGATGAGGCCCAAATAGCGCTCGAATGACAGTGAACACTCAAGCAGATTAGGTTGGCTGTATATAACAGTGCAGAAAGGCGTCAATGAGAAGTGAGTACCTTACCTTAAGGGGCCTTGGGTAAGTGAAGCAGTAATGAGGGTAAAAGGAGGAATTAGACAGAGGATCAAGCCCCCTACCTAGACAATGCCTTTGTCGCAAATTTCAGGTTGGACTTTTATCAGCCAGGTTTGGTTCTCTGCCTAGATACCTGGTAAATAAGACTTGAGGAACTGGGGATATGCGCGATAACGCCCGGACTTTTGCTTCGGGTCAGCAACACCGAATGTGGGTAATGAGTGCCGGCTCACGGCCGGGATAAGTGGGGATTGTGTCGGGGAATGAATTCACGAGCAGCACGCGAAGCAACGACACAGAGAATGATGCGCTTCTTGGTTCCATGTGAAAGAATTTATGTAAGCCTAGGTTTGATGAAATTGAAGTAATCTACTTGTAATCTAACCTACTATACCATGGCAGAGAAATCCCGCAGTTCAGGTTGACTTACGTACCAAGCATCTGGCACACTGACATAAGATTTCCCCCTCCTTTCTACAACTCTGCCACTCCATCGAGCGAACATCTCATTAGAACCTATGACTCATAGGCGCGAGCGACTTCAACCTGTACTTCCGAACTTTGTATTCTATTGTGCCCTCAAGCTCGTTGCGTTGGCAGCCAGGTTCCTCTGGAAGAACTGGGTGAGCTTATCGAAGGGGATAAGCTCCATACGATCGTAGAGATCAACATGTCCCGCACCAGGAACCCAAACGAGCTCCTTCGGCTCAGCAGCACGTGCGTAGGCATCCTCACTGAACTCGCGGGAGTGAGCCTGGTCGCCCGAGACAAACAACAACGGGCGCGGCGAAATCGTCTCGATGTCGTTGAATGGGTAAAAGTTCATAAACTTGGTGTTGCTGGAAAGAGTAGGGTGGGTAGTGAGGTTCGCTGTCGTGTTCTCTGGAGTAAATTCGCCGCGCTGGGTACGATAAAAGTCGTAGAACTCACGATCAACCGCCGTCGACGCGTTGGTCAGCACGTGGGGGGTTCCGCCAGTGTACTCAGTTTCGCCTCCAGCCGCCTCAACCCAGCGCTGCGCCGCAGCTGCAGCAATGATCTCCTTGCGCTGCTCAAGGCTCACTGCGTGGCGTAAACCGTTGCGGGCGGCAGATCCCATGTCGTACATGCTAGAAGTCGCGATGGCCTTGAGGCGGGGGTCAATCTTGGCAGCGCTGATGACGAAGCTGCCGCTACCGCAGATGCCCAGACCACCGATACGTTCACGGTCAACGAAGTCTTGGAGGCCGAGGTAATCGACTGCTGCGCTGAAGGCCTCTGAGTAGAGGTCTGGAGAGACGGCGTTGCGTGGCTCGCCTTCGCTGCCGCCCCAGAAAGAGACATCAATGGAGATGGCGACGAAACCTTGCTCGGCGAGCTTTGTGGCGTAGAGGTTGGCGCTCTGCTCTTTGGTTGCGCCCATGGGGTGGCCGACGACGATGGCTGGGGCAGAGAGTGGACGGCTGGCGTTGTTGCGGATGAAGAGGTTGCCAGCGACGGTGAACTGGTTCTGGGTTGGGAAGGTGATAGGCTGCACCGTCACGATGTCGCTGCGGTAGAAGTTGTCGGCTCCATAAGACAGGTTCTGAGCGGATGCTACCTTCGTGCCCGCGAGAGCCAGCGCAGCAGTGCTACTTCCAGAGATCTTCATGGTGTTTATCTAAGGTGGGTTGACGCGTAAGGCAGTGACAGAACCTGATGATGAGGATGGTATGATCTGGATGAAACTAAGCTTCGTTCACGGCGCTCCCTCTCTGATTTATACCCAGCGTTCTAGAAACGGTTCTATTGCGATTCATCATCATGGATCGACGTTGATGTCATATTCGAATGAGGCAGTTCACCATCCGAAAGGGCCGATATCATCAAAGTGCCACGCGTCAGCCCCAGACAACAAGTCTTAAGGTCTCAGTCACTTAAGCATGATTGGTAATGCCGTGTGCGTCCGAGTAGAAAGTAATTACGATATACCTAGAGGCCCCATTTTCGGCTGACATCGCCAGATGCTACCAAGGCTACCCCTGGTCGCCAAGTTACGACTGGGTCAGTCACCAACAGCGAGCATACGCTAAGCCGGGACCGCCATATCGATTAAATTCCTCCTACAATCTTCTTTGGATTTGGTCACTGGACTGGTCTTCCTTGATGTTAACTGAAGACTAACCGCTGAAGAAGGCACATCAGAGTCTCATCATTCAGACAATAGACTTCATACACCGAAAACATGCCCTTTGCCAGATGAACGAGGGACGAAGACTTTCGAGTAGCCTAAGGGGTACGGCTATTCTTTGAGCGCAATAGAACATTGGCAGGGGCGGGCTAAGTTCGGAATGCCGTCAGTGTCATCAAGCTGCATCAAAATTTAAACTCAAGATCCTTGCCGAACGGCAGGGTATCACAGCCAAGCTTAAATGTCATCCGGCTGCATTAGCGTCGTTTGATTGTGGGGATGTGCTCAAAAGAGCACTGCCACCTTGCACGGTTACGTCTTTTTCGACAAAGGGCGAGGTTATCAACTATCTGTTGCAACCATAATCTATAACCTTCCTTATGTACCAATTGAAAGT